GGGGGGCATCTAGCTGCCAGATTTGCGATAAAAATCAAATAGTAAAACATAAGCCTCTAATGTAGTGGTGCTGAATCAGAATTTTGATCACTGCTTTCTCTACATAAGTGTGCTTCTTCATTTATTATGGCTTTTTATCTCTTCCTATTCCCAGAAAATCTGTAGTAAATTATCCAGAGTCCCAAACTTAGGTTTTTTCCTTCTAATAGGAATAACAGGAAGAAGAAACAGTTGTGTACACACAAAGGGCTTCACCAATGTGCTTCTCTAAACAAAACATGTGACTCTCAAAACCACATTCTTTTTAAAAAGTCACATTTTTGGCTACCCTTTTTGTTGCGCATTTATTTCTCTGCATACATGTCCCACAAATTTCTGATGCAAACTAGAAGGCAGTTCAGAGTTGATTGTCTGAAGCCTTCCAATCTTTCTCCTTTTCTTTTCTTTTGGTAAAGGGTGGGATTGGAGTCAATGACAGAACATGAAGCAGGAAGTGCTACCAGCAGGGAATAGTACAGTAAACGGCAGAAAAACTGAGCGCTCACACCTGGACAAGCCTCGGTGTCCTCGTTTCTAACTTGAGGGTAAAAATGCTTAATGGTTGTGAGAATCGAACTAGATAATATATGTAAGCTGTCTAACACAGTTCCTGATTCACAGTAAATGTTCAAGAAAAGTTGGTTATTTTCACTCCTCATCTGTGAATCTTAAATTCAGAGATCTGCTCATCTTTTGAATCCCCATAGCCTACTCTTATAATACATATTATACCCTGACTTGTGTTATAGCAAGGAAGTATAAACCCTCTCCCTACTCCTTTAGGACGAGGACTCCAGCTAACCCACTTTAGTATATCCCAGAGACCTAACTCAGCACCAGCATTCACTTGTGGGATGAATAAGACATCTTGTTTAATTGGAGAGAGACTGTGTGTGATATTAAGGAAAGCTAGTTCTATCAGCCAGTTTTTGGTAGTAGACTATAAAGACAAACCTACCAAGAGTGGGGAAATATTAGTTAACAGAAAGGGGAAGTCTTGAGATGCAAGGTCAAGATGGCGGAACAAGTAGATCTTGAACTCACCTCCTTCCACAAACACATCAAAATTACAACTAAATATAGAACAACCACCCCTAACCACCTGAAAACTGGCTGAACAGAACTCCTGTAACTAAAGATATTAAAAAGAAGCCACACTGAGGGTAGGAGGGGCAGAGACACAGCCTGGTCAGGTGTAGCAATTCATAAATGGAAAGGATAACATAACATAACACCCTTACACCAGGATCCCCAGCCTAGGGCATCTGTGCTGGGAAGAGGAGTCTCCATAACATCTAGCTTTGAAAACCAACAGGGATCATATCAGAGAGAGACAAAGGACCGTGGGAGACCAAGACAGTGCTCTTAAAGGACTCATGCTCACACTCACCCGCTCCAAGCTCCAGCGCAGAAGCAGCGGTTCCAGAAGTGCCTGGGTCCTATGGGGAGGAATTAGATGGACTAACATTAGAGGGAGGGCTGGAGGGGCAGGGATTGGTGGGAACTCTCCCTGAAGAGGGAAGTGCTGGCGAGTGCCATTGTTCCTTTGTTTCTTTTGCTGTGCTCTCCTTCCACCTGGCTGACCTGGAGCAGGCAGGTGCCAAACCTGTCACTCTCCATTAACTTAGCTAACCCTGTTCACCCCACCCCAGCATTCCCAAGATCCTGCCCCACCTAACCTTTGAGCCCTGGCCAAAGCCTTCCCCACGTGTGCTCCTGACCTTCCACACAAGCAGCACTGGCCTCAGGTAAAATCATAGCAACTACCAAGTGGTCACAAGTCCAGCACAAGCAGTGGCCAGCCTAGGCCAGCACCACAGCCCCACCCAGTGGCTCCACAACAGACACACCCAACAGGCAGCTGGGGCCAGCACTGGAGCCCCTCCAAAGCAATTTCCACCCTGTGGGGTAAGCCCTTGCACACCAGATCATCCAAGTAGTTTTGGCTGGCCCTCGCAGCCAGTCACCTAAGAGTCAACCCCACCCACAAGCAGGCCTGCAGCAACTGGAGCCCAACTCCAACAGAAGGGCACACACAGCCCACACAGGGGACACCCCTGGAGCACCTGGCTCTGGTAACCAGGGGTGATAGTTCCACTGGACCCCACAGGAGAACTTCTTTTTGAGGCCACTTCATGAAGACTGGAAGATGTAGTGGATCTACCTAACACATAGAAACAAACAGAGAGAAACAGCCAAATGAGGAATAGGTTCCAAACAAAAGAACAGGAAAAAACCCAGAGAAAGAACTAAATAAAACAGATAAACAGTCCACCAGATAAGAAGTTTGAAACAATGCTCAACAAACTCAGAAGTAGATGAACTCAGTGATAAATTCAACAGATACAGAAAATTTAAAAAAATGACCAGTTAACCCAGCTGATGTGGCTCAGTGGTTGAGTGTCGACCCATGAACCAAGAGGTTGCTGGTTGTTCGATTCCTGGTTGGGGCACATGCCGGGTTATAGGCTCAATCCCTGGTAGGAGGGGTACAGGAGGCAGCTGACCAATGATGTTTCTCTCATCAATATTTCTATCTCTCTATTTCCCTCCCTTTCTTTCTCTCTAAAAATCAATAAAAACATTTTAAAAAGAAACTATCAGAATGAAATGAAAAATATTAGAGAGAATTGACAACAGATTAGATGATGTAGAAGACTGGATTTAATGCAGAAGTGAAGGTAGTGAAAATCATCCAAATGGACCAGCGAAAAGGAAAGAATTTTAAAAAATGAGGATAGTTTAAGGATCCCATAGAACAATATTAAGTGTATCAACCTTTGCATCATAGGAGGAGAAGAGAGAGAAAGAGACATAAAACCTATATGAAGAAATGATGGCTAAAAACTATTCTAACCTGGTTAGGAATCAGACATCCAAGTCTAGGAAGCACAGAGAGTCCCAAACAAGATGAACCCAAAGAGGCTCACACCAAGAAACATCATCATTAAAATGCCAAAGGTTAAAGACAAAGAAAAAATTAACAGCAGCAAGACCATTTAACATTTCATGTAAAGAGATTTAGTGTGATGAACTCCTTTAACTTTTTTCTTGTCTGTGAAACTCTTTATCTGACCTTCAATACTAAATGATAGCTTTGCTGGGTAGAGTAATCTTGGTTGTAGGTTCTTGCTATTCATCACTTTGAATATTTCTTGCCACTCCCTTCTGGCCTGCAAAGTTTCTGTTCAGAAATCAGCTGACAGTCTTATGGGTGCTCCCTTGTAAGTGACCAAATAATTTTCTCTTGCTGCTTTTAAGATTTTCTCTTTGTCTTTAGCCCTTGGCATTTTAATTATGATGTGTTTTGATGTGGACCTCTTTGGGTTCCTCTTGTTTGGGACTCTGTGCTTCCTGGACTTGTATGTCTATTTCTTTCACCAGGTAAGAAAAATTTTCTGTCATTATTTTTTCAAATAGGTTTTCAATTTCTTGCTCCCCCTTTAAAGGGTCTTCTTTAAGAAGAAGAAAAAAAAAGAATAAAAAATATAAACAATACAATGGTAATAAATACATATCTCAACAATTGACTATAACAATAAACAAACAGGCAGAACAGAAACAGACTCATATATACAGAGAACATTTTGATGATTGTGAGATGGGAGGGGGTAGGAGGATAGGTGAAAAAAGGCAAAGGGATTTAAAAGTACAAATTAATAGTTATAATACAGTCAGGGGGTGCAAAATACAGCATAAGGAATATAGTCAATAGTATTCTAATAACTATGTAAGGTATCAAATAGGTATGAGATTTTTGTAGATGGTCACTTAATAACTTTTAAAATGTCTGATCATCATGATGGACACCTGAAACTAATATAACATTGTATGTCAACTGTAATTGAAAAATAAAAAGTGATTTAAAAAATTAAAGCAGCAAGAGAAAAGCATCCAGTAGTACAAGGGATCCCCCATAAGACTACCAGCTGATTTTGCAGCAGAAACTTTGCAGGCCAGAAGGAAACAGCACAATACATTTGCAGTGATGAAAGGGAAACCTGTAACCAAGATTACTCTATTCAGCAAAGTTATCATTGAGATTGAAAGACAGATAAAGAATTCACCAGACAAGCAAAAGCTAAAGGAACTTATTACCACTAAACAACACTACAAGAAATGTTAAAGGGTCTTCTTTAAGCAGAAAAGAAAAAGCTAAAATTAAAAATAAGGAAACATAAGAAAGAAAAAAAATCTCACTGATAAAAGCAAACATTTAGTAAAAGTAATGGATCAACCAATTATAAAGCTAATATGAAGGTTAAAAAGCAAAATTAATAAGATCATGTGTAACTACAATAAATAATTAAGGGATACACACAATACTCACACACATACTTCTAGGTACTTATCCAAAGAAATGGAAAATGGTAACTTGAAAAGATATATGTGCCCCTATGTTCATTGCAGCATTATTTATAACTAGAGGCCCGGTGGACAAAATTCGTGCACGGGGGAAAGGGTGTGTGTCCCTCAGCCTGGCCTGCACCCTCTCCAATCTGGGATCCCTCTCACAATCTGGGACCGCTGGGTCTTAACCACCCATCTGCCTGCCTGCCTGATTGCTCCTAACCGCTTCTGCCTACCATCCTGATCGCCCCCTAACCGCTCCCCTATTGCCCACAACTGCCCTCCCCTCCCATGACCTGCCTCCTCCACGAAAGGTGGCGGAGACGCCGGGACCGGCTCCTCTGCACCGCACGGAGCCGCAGGACCCTAGGCCTCACCACGCAGAGCGGCTGCTGGCCCTGCCTTCACTGTGCATGACCATCTTGTGATGACCTAGGCTTTTATTAGTGTAGATAGTCAATATATGGAAGCAACCTAAGTGTCCATTGATAAATGAATGGATAAAGAATATGTAGTACGCACACACACACACACACACACACACACTGGAATATTAGCCATAACAAGGAATGAAATCTTGCCATTTGAGACAACATAAATAATTAAGGGATACATTAATAGAGGGTTTTATGCTAAGTGAAATAAGACAGTAAAAGACAATTACCATATAACTTCACTCACATGTGGCGTCTAAAGAACAAAACAAACAAACAAAACAAAACAGAAGCAAACTCATACAAAGAACAAACTGACGGTCGCCAGCCGAAGGGGTGGGAAGTGGAGGGATGAGCAAAAAAGGTGAAAGGAATTAAAAAGTACAAACTACCAGTTATAAAATAAGTCATGGAGACGTAAAGTACAGTAAAGAGGGTCTAGTCAATAATATCATAATAACTGTGTAGGAGGACAGATGGGTACTAGGCTTATCATGACAATCACTGCATAAAGTATAGGAATGTGTAATCACTATGTTATATACCTGAGCTAATACAATTTTGGATGTCAACTATAATTTTAAAATGACTTAAAAATAAAAAGAGAAAGAAAAAGAAAATTTTATTTTGTTTTGCACCCAGAAGGGCAGTAGGATGTGCCAGGGGCAGATCAAAGACTATCTGTTGTGTAACCAAGAAGTTCGCTGCAGACTGAGACTCTTTACTGTAGAAATGGAACTTCCGTCTCTCACTGAAGGGAGAAGCACTTGAATATCTTAATACGCCCTGGAGCCCAGGGGAGAACTGGGGACTCTTTTAAAGAGCAGAAGAGAAAGGCAAGTATTACGTCTGTTATGAATGTTTGCAAATAATGTGACTTTACAAACTTTCATTAAAGAATTACAACACTGGAAGGCATTATGGTAAAATAATGTACCTTGGACATGGCTTTCCTATGAAGAAAACACAATGTTCTGTTTACTAAAGTCCCATACATAGATTGTGATGAAAATCACAAACAACTCTTTAGCTGAAACCACTTTTTTGTTCAATAGAAACAGCAAACGGTATATTGAATAGAAATGGTTACTTCATTTCCTGCACGAACACCATGGAATATGGAGGGATATATTTTCCTCCAAGACAGAAATCTAATGAAGTATAGTGAAATTTGCCTAGAGACTCTTACTGAAATAGCACTTATTCAAAAGAAATTTTTTATATCACTACTTTTAGAGTTTCAACAATCAAGACTCTGTATTTGAAAGGCATTAGGAAATGGGCTCCAGTCCCCTGAAGCAAGTTTGGACCAAGTGTCTCTTGTACAATAGACAGAGACCGCATTGAAGAATTCCAGGTTTATGCTGTGCTTGGTGCAGTGTTGGCCACAACATAACAAGTGTTAAATAAAATAATAGCAACATGTGACATGGAGAGCCTGAGTCTCTCATTCTTACTGCTAAGCCCACAGACCAGATGGCTGTACACACCCGTAATCAAGTGCGGAGCCATGCGGAGCTGTGTGGGCCGGGGGCTGGCGAGGCAGCGCTGAGTCAGGCCGCTGCCTTCTCTCCCTCCTGTGGAATTGCTTCACAGCCTCCAGTCATCGGCGCGGTGCCATCGGCGCGGAGAGCTCACAGAGCTTTGGATGTGTCCAGACAATTCATGAAGGACGCTGATTTCCCTCGAGTATGTGCCAAATGACATCCTACCCACTCCTTCAGCACCTGGAGCAGTGACTTGCTAATGAGACCTGTAAAGAAACTGGGGCGTCTCAGGTAGAACAGGCACAGTTGGCTGTTCATGAGACACTTGAAAGTATTAGCTCTTTTTAAAATAAATAAACAACTCTACCTTGAGGACATCATGCCGAGTGAAAGAAGTCAGTCACAAAAGAACAAACAGCGAATGATTCCACTTATATGAGGTCCTTAGAGTAGTCAAATTCACAGAGACAGAAAGGAGAAAGGTGGTTGCCAGAGGCTCGGGAAGTGGGGATGGGGAGTTATTGTTTAAAGGCTACAGTTTCAGTTCTGTAAGATGAAAAGAGTTCTGTGGGTGGATGGTAGTAGCACAATGATGTGAGAGTACTTAATGCCACTAAACTGTACACTTAAAAAAATGGTTAAGATGGTACATTTTATGTCATGTGGATTTTGCCACGATTTAAAAAAAAATATATAATAAATATATAAATAGACACCTAATCAGCATGTATTTCCTCTGAGGGTCAGTGAAAACCAGGAAGATGTTCCTCCTCTCATGAAATGAGAGCAGATGCATTTTGAAGCATTTAGAAAATGGTCTTCCCCTTTTCTGTAGCTGCTGGTCGCCCCTGGAGCGTGAGCTTATCTAGGACAAGGTCTTTCATCTCTGTGTC